TCTTGGGTAACTTATACATACAAGCCAAACTCATATGAAGTTATTTTGTAAATCACACTGTTAGAAATAACTGCAAAGAGGCAATGCAAAAGTATTTTTCATAATTATAATTAGTTTGTTCCTATAGAAAAAATATCATAGAATGTTTTTATTAATACTTTCTTGGTGAGCTCAGCCTCAAAAGGGAGAACATTTGGTTTGAGTGAATTTAATAGTGTTTTACAGAACTAATATGTCCTGATAATTCTTTACTATAGGGAATTCTTCTTTTCCTTAGTATAAGGAAATCATCCTCTTACCAAGTATCTTGTAGAGACATTAACAAATTCTCTCTCTGTCATATTAGTTTTCTTTTCCTAGATTGTGCAGATTATATAGTCATTGTCAGTTTTTACTCTTAACAAGATTTGTTAGTTATAGGCACATTTCAGGCATCTTCTTTTAAACCTATATAAGTATGTGAATTAGCATTTATGTTTTACACAGTGAGTTATAGATATTTGTATTATCTTTGTATTGTTAATATCTGGTCTGATTCTTGCCACATAGGTGAACAGTTGGTGGCTAAATTAATGGGTAGGCACAGAATTGTGTTAACCGATTTTGAGTCAGTAATACTTGACACTTGGCCATGGACACATTTGACCTCATTTTTTCCTCTATAAAATAGAATTTATTCATAGAGCTCTTACAAGAATTACATGCAATACAAGGAGACATTAAAAAATTTGTGGAAAAATGGAATGAAAAGATAATCAATTTTTTAAAGCCCTCTTGTATAGACCACTTAGCAGCACGGTGTCTGGCAAATAGTAAGTGTTCAGTAAGTGGCATTTATATGCTGCAGATATTAATCTTGACTATTTGGAGTCCTGATGTGGTGCTGTAGGATAAGCACCAAACCACAAGGTTGGTTTGAACTACAGTTCAAACTCAATAACTGCTCCTAGGAAACACTATACAGAGTCGTTGTGAGTCGGAACCAACTCGATGGCACTTAACAACAGTAATCATTTAGATTTTATTCAAATTTTCAAAAAACAACAGTTGATATGCTTTATTTGCAAGTGTCAAAATTCTGAGTGTAGTTTAAGCAAAAAAGAATTTACCAGCTTGCTTGACTGGAGAGTTCTGGGCTGATGTGGCTTTAAATATTTAACTGGATTCAGTGAGCTCTCATATTAGATGACCTCTTCTTTCTTTTATTATCAGATAGACTAAGATAGTACCTGGGAGCTCTAGGCTTAATACGTTACACTTTCCTCACATCTAGACAATCAGCAAAAATGAACTCCAGCAGAAGGCCTGGAGAGAGAACCTTTATTGACTCAGTTTGGTTCTTACCCAACCAGAGATAATCATTATCATCAGAGAGATGAGTATTTTGGCTGGTCCTTGGGTCAGCCCCAGCTAAGACCATATGAGAAATGGTTTAATTATCAAAAAGATGCTGAGCAGATGAACGCCATAGATTGATTTTTCAAACTTTTTGTCTATTCTTGTGTTTTATTTATTCCATGTGCTAAGTTAGATATGGAATGCTTATTAACAACCTATAAAAAAACAGGACATTCCTACCTTCAGGAGCCAAAGATGCTACTAGTGCTCACATTGAGAACCCTGAACTAGATTAATTAAAAACTAGATAGATTGTTTAGGATTTTAAAAGGAAAGGAGCTGCTAAAGATGTTCCCATCTAGTTAAGTTTTTATACTTCAATGATGTAAGTTTTAGAATCAGTAAATGATGGCTAGGAATTATGAAGCATTTGCATTACTTCTAATCAATATTTGACAGTCTTAAGTTATTTACTAAAAAATAAAAAAAAGCAGTAATCTTTAGTTGATGATAATGGTACTGTTAAAACAGGCCTTGATGTGGTGCTGTAGAATAAGCACTGACCTGGGAACCAGCAATTCTAACTCACCAGCTGCTCCTCAGAAGCGCTATACAAGGCTGCTATGAGTCGGAATTGACTTGACAGCACTTACCAACAACATACAGGAAAGAGAGCTGTAGTGGCACAGTGGGTTAAGCTTTGGATGGTTAAAATTCATGTCATTAATCACAATGTGGCCTTTTAAGAATATAAGGCTTTCTTTTGTAATCCCATTATCATTCCATAGTGCCAGTTGTGGATAAACAAGCATTTTCAGTCTTATGATAACGTTGATTGGAAATAATTTTGACTTGGTCATTAAAGTGGGTTCACTGTTATTTTGAGTGAAAATGGTAGTTAATTTAGACATTTGCTCATTAGTAATGAATTTCTGAGGTTAGATAGGCTTGTTTACAGTTTTATTGTGGTGGTGATTTCTCTGCTTTCATTTGTTCTCTCTCTCTCTTTTCTTCCCACACAATGGAATTAAATTACACAGCCCATTTTACCTCTTGATAAGCTTAATTTGATTACTTTTGATTTTTCTTACTGTATTCTGAATAGTAAAATCACATCTGTTGATATTTATTACAAAACTGATAAATTGTGGCAAATGCCTTGATGCTTAAGAGTGTGGGCCCCAACCAGTATGCATTCACCTGCGAATTTGTGAAAAATGCAGAATCTAGGTTCCTATCTCAGACCTGGTAATAAGTAAAAATAGCATTTTAACAAAATACTCTGGCGTTGCTTCAAAACATTTGTCAGAAAATTCCATTAGCTTTTAATTCCTTTTCCCACAGACTTTTTGAAGCTTCTTCATAATGTTAAGAGTATAACAAAAAACAAAAAAAAACCCACTGCTCTAGATGACCTTTGTTAATATACTAGGTGAACATTTACATTATGAACATTTCTATTAATTAGATAACAATGTTTATTATCTTCAAGTTCTTAAATTTTAGGGATAGTAAATTAAAATTAAAACAAAATTGTTTTAGATGATAAATTTTGTTTCACTGATTGTGATTGTCTCTAAACCTAGCAAATTTGTCACTGAATGTGTTGTTTCCGTTGTTAAGTGTCATCAAATCAGTACCAACTCATAGTGAACACTGTATAAGGTTTCCGAGGGGTGGCTGGTGAGCTTGAACCGCCGACCTTGTGGGCAAAGTGACCTTGCAGTCCTGCACATTAACTCACAGCACCACACCAGTGACCAGTTATTTCTTTCGTTATTACTATAGTTTTTTTTTCTATTGCTGTTACAGGTTTCTTTCTTCACTTTTTATTATAGAAGCTATTTCTCTTTTATTTTTCTTGTTGTTAAGTGCTGTTGTGTTTGTCATACTAGTGACTTCTTTAAAAAATTTCTAATCCTCTTGGCCTCTTAGTCATTCTTCAGCAGACATTTAATTAAAAACAGCTATGCTTCATACTTTATATAGATCATAGTGAAAAGTTGCATTTAATTTGGGATGTAATCTTAAATGCAAAATAATTGATCTATTTCAGGAACCAATAAAGGCACTATGGTTTATTTTCTATGGAAATAATGTTTTCACTACATGATTTAGTATGTATATTATAACTGCATAAAATAATGTTACATTTTCTGAAGTTAATGAATAATAATGGCTAGCTTTCTAAGCTAGCCACAATTCCATGAGCTGGCCTTGTCCTTGGAATCCTTGTGTGGTGCTGTAGAATAAGGATAAGCACTGGACCACAAGGTTGGTGGTTCAAACCCACCATCCATGCCTCAAAAACCCTATACAGGATCGCTATGAGTTTGGAACATCTTAGTGGGAGCAGAAAGTCTCATTTCTCACCTGCTGAGTGGTTGGTAGGCTCGACCCTTTGACCCTGTGGTTTGTAGTGCAGTGCTTATCTTGTAGAGCCACCACACTCCCTTAGTAACAGGAGGGGACTTCAAAGCATTCATGAGAATAATACTTCATAAGTTTTTAATTCCATTTTTTTCCCAAAAACTACAAAGTATTCCCCTAAGAAGCCTTGACACTCAGTTGTCCTTTGTGTTTTAAATCTTTTGTCTTTCTCGGACTAGCTTCTTCCCATTGGCACTAAATGCTTACACCTTCTATCTTAAATAACAAAATCTTTTTCACTGTTTCCACTCTAATTACTGCCCTCTTTCCTTTTCTGCACACAAATTTTTCACAAGTTTTATTCTTTCATTTTTTCACTTTCTATTTACTCTTCCTTGTGCAGTATGGTTTCTGCTTCGTCTCTCCACAGAAACAGATCTTACAACATTCACTTCCTTGTTACTAAATTCGGTATACTTTTTCCGTTTTCATCCTAGTCACACAACAATATTCATTCAGTGATTACTCCTTGAAGCACTCTTGCGTTAGCTGGTATAGGGCCACATTCTTGGTATCTTTTCTATCTTGTGACTGTTCGTTCTTAATTTTGTTCATGTTTTCATTTCCCTATCATTTGTAATTCCACAACTTTTCTCTTAGGTCTTCTTTTTTCTTTTTCACTTTTAAAGTTTTATTGCATTATAGTAAACTGAAAGAAGCTAAAAAGTAGCTAAATCATACCACCAAGAAATAAATAGTATTAATATATGGTGAGCATTCTTCAGACAGCTCTTGGGGGGGGGGGGATATATATATATACATTGAACTTCATATGTGTCAGAAAAGTGCTTTATTTAAATCCTTATAACTCATATGTGGTAGGGTTGTTGTTATCCCCACTTTATTGATGAGGTAAAAAGAAAGTAGCTTTTCCAAGGTCGTGTAGTTGGTAAGTAGTAGAAGTGGTATTCAAACCAACATAGCATAGAATTTGCTAAACTCTATCTAGTCAGACTGTACCCAAAGGGGACCATTGTTGTTGTTGTTGTTAAGTGCCTTCGAGTCGGTTCCGACCCATAGCGACCTGTACAGGTTAAGTAATGTTTAATCGCCTGATTCACTTAAGATGTAAATACTGCCCAAGAATGAAACTAAGCTAGTATTAGGACCACACTTTTCCCCTCCGTTTTCAACATCTGGTTGTAAGTATGAGTTATTTGTTGAATGTTTTGTTTTAGCAAACTATATAAATGTTGGCAATTTTTAAAATAATATGCTTTACCCATTTAAAGTATATGAAAATGATGATCAGCTCCTGTGGGATCCCAAGTATTTACCAGAAGATAAAGTGATTGCATTTCTTAAGGATGCATCTAGAAGAACAGGTGATGAGAAAGGGGTAGAAGCAATTCCTGAAGGATCTCATATAAAAGACAATGAGCAGGTAAATAAATACAAAATAACTTAAAATTTACGAAAAAATGTACATGTTTACAAATTAAATGCTGTTACTTTCAGTGTTACTATTTTATCCACTGAAATTTCTTGATATCATTAACAAGAATTGATGGTCATGAGTTCATGATCAGCATAAACTAATCTAGTGTTAACCACACTCACTTCACTGATATTTCAGCTCAAAACAAATAAGCAAAAAACTTTGATGTTACATTTTTGCCTGTACGTTAATAGTTTTAAGGTGTTTTCTTATTTTGTTTATTATTTTTTTCATTCCTTAAAATATCCCTAAGAATTTGGATCACTGTTCATTTGTCAGTTTGTTATACTGTGATGGCTTGCATGTTGTTGTTAGCTGGAAGCTATGCCACTAATACTTTAAATACCAATAGAGTTACCCATGGTGGACAGGTTTTAGCAGAACTTCCAGACTAAGACAGACTAGGAAGAAGGAAAAGCAGACTACTTCTGCATGGTTTGTTACTGAAAGCCTTATGAATTGTCAGGTATAGTGCAAGAAGATGAAAACATGAATTAGCCCCAGAATATTGTCAGAAATATTGATGAGCCCATCAAGTTCATTCAAAATAAGGACAGGGAAAGTCTGCCTCCTCAAAGTAGAGCTGACCTTGTTGACATAAATGAATAAAGCTTTTTTGTTGTTGTTGTGCTTCATTTGCTAATGACGCATAACTCAAAATAAGAAACAGCTGCAAATACCCATTAGTAATCAGAACATGGAATGTATGAAGTCTGAATCTAGGAAAATTGTAAGTTCAAAAAAAAATTAAATGGAATGCATAAACATCAGTTAGCTTAGACATCTGAAATTGACTGATAGTGGCTATTTTGAATCTAACAATCATTTTACTGTGTCTGGAACAGCAAATTGAAGAGGTTTGGTGTCACATTCATCATCAAAAAAACATTTCAAGATCTATCTTAAAGTATAATGCTTTGTGATAGGATATACCCATATGCCTACAAGGAAAACCCTACACGGTGTCGCTATGAGTTGAAACCAGTTCAACGGCGCTTAACAACAACAGCAACAGGGAAGACCAGTTAATATCACTATTATTCAGATTTACACACCATTCACAAAAGTCATTGATGAAATTGGAGAATTCTATGAACTTCAGTCTGAAATTGATCAAGCATGAAATGAGATGTATTGTTAATTAGTGGCGATTGGAATGCAAAGGTTTGAAACAAAGAGGAAGGATCAATAGTTGGAAAATAATGTCCTTACTGATAGAAATGATGCTGGAAATTGCATGAAAAAATTTTACAGCACCAATTACTTACTGGGTGAAAATACCAGTTTTAAACAATATAAAAGATAAACTATACACATGGACCTCACCAGATGAAATACACAGGAATCAAAATTACT